GTATCAATTAATAAATTGCTGATGTTTAATTTTAAATTCCGGTACGTAACTGATTTTTGGGTGACGCTAGGGAGGTTCTTACAATATGTAATTGTTACAGTATTTTTAATAAAAATTTCGGACATTTCCATCTATACAAAATTAAAGGCAATAATGAACAGGAGGAATCCTATGCAGAAGAAATTAGTCAAAGTACTATTTACAGCAAAATCTTGATCCAGAATATTTCAAGTTGACAAATAATTAATATGCTACTTGTTTTCATAACATTTAATTTGAATTATATTTGCTTTGCGTAACTATTTATTCGAAGTATATTTGCTGTTGTAACTCTCAATTTACAAAATTTTCAATAAATTAATCTTTGCGACTCGAATAACTCGAATAAACCTCGAAAAATATAATTATTCAAATGATTCGAGCACTCTTCGGAATTTAATTCGCGAGTTACGAGTCCAGTCACTACTCGCACCATGTTAAAAAAAAATATATATGTATTATAAAAAAATATATTCATTTTCAAATTTTATCATAACGATAAATTTTATTTAACCAAATTTGGTTACTAATTCAATTTTTATACATCATTTCAATTCTTTTTTTTTTTCAATTGAATGGTTTTAAAGTAACAAAATGATAAATGCATTATAAATGCAAAAAATTAAATCAAAAGTAACATTGGGTGGTATGTGAATTATTAATATATAATGTATGGTACAGTAAAGACTAAGTTAGTCAAAAAGGTAAAAAAATTGAAAATGTCTATAAAGCCGATGATACACTTTTAAGGGTATTAAAGAATAACCAAGCATGTATAATTTAAATGTATCATGTATATATATTGTTTATGGTTGAATAAAATACTTCGGCAGCTATTAATACAATATATAAAATAGTAAACATTAAATATAAGATTTTGATTTTTTTTTTTTAATTTGTTGCAACAGCCACTCTAGATCCGTGCATTTGTATTCGCTCAAATTCTTCGGGGGAAGGCTGCAGAACCTTATTTTCTGAAGAAAACTTTTGCTGTATTAAAGAATCAAATTCTTCTGGCTTAGCCTGTCAATAATAAATTAGTTTTAATAATTAATAATCAAAGTCGTAAAGTCGTAAAGTCATAAATATGATAATATGCATCCAATTTTCTTATGCTATACCTTAGTTATATATTCAACCTTAGCTTCGGCTTCAAATACTTGTTCTAATATATCTAAAGGTTCGTCTATTTGCGACCAATCAATGGTAAGCGTCTTTTCCGAACGGTTTTCGTCCTGGTCATTTTCATCTTGTAAAGTTTCCGTATCTTCTTCAAGAGACTGACGACTGGAGCTTAAATCCGGATCCACCGGTATTGGCTCAGTTACGTCTTTTAAAGCCCTTTTTCCATCTTCCCATTCTTGAAAAACATAAACAAAGTCATTGCTTATTGTTTCATATTGTTTTATTAATTGTTCTCTTTCACTGTCAGAAACATCCATGCCTGCTTATGACAATAAGTTAGATTGTAGCTAAAATTTGTTCTAAAAAATATTCAAATATTATAATCCCAAGTACCTTCCGTTTCATAATATTTACGAACGTCTTCATTGCAAATGTATAATTTGGCTTGAATGCTACGAACACGTTGCTCAACGGAAGCTAAACGATGAAGATAGATTCTGAGCTTCTTGTTAGTGATTATTTGTGGGGTTGGCTGTGATAGAAAGTCTTGTTTAGGAGTTGGTATGGTATCTAAGGTATGTTGGATACATAAATATATAATTATATAACATAAATATATAATTTTATAAACACAAATAAATGCAATAATCGTAAATTAATATTACTAACATAAGTCAATAGCTGATGCCGCAATAATTCGGTCCAAGTAAATTCCGGTGATAACACCTAAATTATTCAAATGTTCATTGACAATTGCCCAATGATGTTCATAATCTCTTCTACCAGAATCTCTTCCAGGTGTCATTACATCCAGCGCAAGAAAATGACATAAAAGTTCTCGACGTTTTGTATGCACTTTCTGAAAACATTGTTTCAAGTGTTCCAGAGAAAGCGTATCGTGCTCTTCCAAAAACCATTCATCACCTTCTGGACGAGGAATTATGTTGTACATATTGTACATTATGACTAAATTTTCTTTCAAAGTTTCCGGATTCATTGCAACTATTGCGTCACAATAACTCTCAAAAGCTTCTTTAAGTATATTATGAACAGTTTCTCGAAGCACACCACAACGTCGATCTTCTGAACATTGTTCAGCATGAGATCCTGTAGGAGTGGGTAACGATCTGTTATCGTATTAAATTTAATTGTTTAAAAATATGTGCCAAAAAAAAAAAGATGCCAATCTTAAAATAAATATTTCTTACAATCGGTAGCCACGTGATACAAGTTCGACCTCCTGGATCATTGTTAGAGCTTGGTTTAATTTTATATCAAAATTTTGACAATTATACACAAGTGTTTCCAGAAAATATAATGCAGAGTTGTGTAATGTTTTCATAGCTTTCCGTCGCTAATAACCATATTTAAAAAATAATTAAAATAATTAATCATTAAAATAACAAATGATGATAATAAATTAACGCTTTTTATATAAATTCAAGTTACCATGCGACGGTATAAGAAAAATGTACCACATAATGCTAACATGAATGCAATGGGTAATTGCATTATTTTTGTACCGATATCTTTAGATTCAGTACCGTGTAGTAACCAAGTTAAGACAACAACAATCATGCCGATTACAGAGCTTAACAAGATTTCAAAGTTTCGACGCGAAATTCCTCCCAAGTATAACCCTGCATCACGGATCTCTATTGGATCCGGTTTTCTGCTATCATAGAAGTAAACTGACAGTGTATCATTTAGGAGGTGCGACGTGCATAATAAATACTTAAATCGTTCTTCGAACTCGTTCTCTTCTTGTAAAGGTAAAGCTGTTGATAATGTTTCCTGGATTAAAAAGTTATGAAATGTTACATTAGTGACCTATTTTTTTTAACGATTATTTTGAAAATGCATAGTTGTAAAAAAGCTATCATGCTTACCTGAAGATATTCAAATATATTTAGCACACATTGCGAAAACCTTGATATTGATATCGTTACGGATTCTTCAGTTTGTGATCTCTGCCTTTCAACAAATAAACTTAACCTTTTTTTATTACTGACATCTATTCAATAACATAAAAAGGATTTACTTTTAAAGCTCCACCCAAAAAACTGAGCTTCTTTAAGCTTACCAGTATGATCTTCTGAGAAACGATTCTCATCGTAGACTATGTTTTCAGCCATTATATAATATTTTTAAGGAAAAAAAAAGAAAGAAAAAAAAATGAAAGTAAAGTTTTAAGTACAGTTGACGGAAGCTATGGGGGGGATGAAAAATGAAAGCATATCGATATACCCCCAAAAAAATTTATTAAATTGCTCGAGGTGACGACTGATAGATCACTAAAACGTTAAATATCTGCAGTGACACATGTATTGTCTAAAAGTGCATAAATTTATATATAGTAAGCTTACCATGCTAGAAAAATTGATCGCATGAAATCACCACAAAATTTACCTAAAATTTACCATGTGAATATAACGATATACGTATGAAATCGTATCAAAAAAATCAGGTGATTATTATTGTAAAGAATCCCGCATTTGGTTAATTCCAGATTATTTACGTTGTCTTGTCGAAAACGAAAAAAAATAAATTTATATCGATATATATATCTGACATATGTCATGATTTATAAGCCTTCAATTTTTAAGTGATGTCATTGGGTGAAAACCATATATATCAATAATAGTCTTAACTGGACAAATGATCGATCACTGACATGTGTCGTGAGCGGCACGTGTAGCCGATCACATAAAATGATATCGCAATATATACGTACTGTACGTACGTACGTACCTTTAGTATTATCACAATAATTAAAACGGCTATTCTAATTACAGTAAATATCGGATAAAAGACCCAGGTCTCTAAAATATTAGACCCGGGTATAGCACATGGTTGAAAGTTTATATACTAAAAGGAAAGCATGCATATTTTTTATTTCAAAAAAAACCCGCATTTGACTATTATAGATTCCACAATTCGCACCCAGGTATGGTACATAGGAGGTCTACATTGTGGGGACCTTTTATCCGGCCATTTACGGTAAGTAAATGGCTTCTTTTTATGAACAATATTGGGCAAGCATCGACAAATAACGGTAATTTTGCTCAAAAAATCCCAACGTTGTAAACCTTATTATAAAAAATTATATACTTTGTTTTAAAAACATTTTTTTAATACAGCATATACTGTACGTATATATTTTTTAAAAAAGATTAGTATAGATAACGTAGTATATATTACTATTGATGACCTTTTTTCAAATTTCATGTGCATGATACGCATCATGCGCATGGAATTCTGGCCTGCATTATGGTACCTTGCTGCTAATACGAGCCAGAATTATGGGATTCCGAAATATTCCGATAACTCCGAAATATTCACTAAGTATTAAAGTATCCTAGCCATAGCGAGGATTTGATTGGCTGTACTATTTGAAATTTTAATTCGTAATTCGCCGATCAATAATAGTCGATCATATGACAATTATATAATCGATTTGGGGATATATAAGATAGTAATTTACTATATACACTTTCAATCTCACATTGCCGCTTTGTTATACAGTTTTAAATGACTACATGCTGGGAACCTACTGTTTATTTGCTTGCAACAGGAAGTATTGTGCCAAATTTACACTATGGTGGTTCTTTTTTATGTGATTGGTGGCATGTTAAATCTACTTTACAAAAATCTGACAATTTTGGGATATGCAATTATTTGCCAATAGTTAGCATTATTTAGTACATTATTACTTTTCGGGCCTAAATTTTTGAAATATTAGCAATAATTTAAACCTAAAAAATACCAAAATTTAACTCTTTATTAAAGCAACAATGTTGTAATATAATAATAGTAATCTTATCAATTTATTACCAATATATATAGCATACAAATGCAAAATTTCTAAGTTTTTTTTAAAGCAATAATATTGTAAGATTATTATAGTAAATTTATCAATTCACAATCAATATGTATCACATATAAATGCCAAATTTCTAAGCATTTTTAAAGCAATAATATTATGATATTATTATAGTAACTTTATCTATTTATTACCAATATATATGATACATAAAATGTAAAATTTCTAAGCTTTTTTAAAGCATTATAATTATGATAATACAGTATTATCAATTTATTTTTTTTTTATAATTCGGCAATCCTGTCCTTGTTTATTTGAGATCAAGTTATTCAAAATTACAAGTAATTTACAAGTGATTTATCTCTAACTAAAGTAGATCCAACCAAACAAAGAAC